GGTAAGACAAGGATGGGCAGCAATCCCATTTTGCTTTACCCATGCCATCCATGGGTGGTATCATGAGGAATTTACACTCATGTGATCTTGTGAAACACCCCATCTCAAGGGTGAGCATACATAGCCATGGAAAATGTATAAGAATCAACATGGCTTACAGTGCAGACAGAACACCTGGTCAGGCATCATTCACCACAGAGCAGGATCGAAAGTGAAGCTGAAGCATGGGTTCCTGAAAGAAAAGAAAGCATTAGTAGGGACTTACCTTGTGTCAGTGCACCAATGACTGGGATTGGTGGAGCAGGTTGGGATGGAGAGGATGAGGAAGGGAGAGACCACCTGCAGCTAAAGGAACCAAGGTTGAGCGGGCCAGTAAGGAGCAATCAGAAGGATTGGCAGGAATGAGGGAAACCACTGGATGAAGTAAACAGATGGGAGGGTAAACATAAAGGAACAGATGAAACCAATCCTGGCTGCAGACATTGACAGCCAAGGCTTGAGGATGGGGAAACAGGGACCAAAACTGAGGTAATTTGTGATTGAGGACAGTGGCAAAGGCATTGATATGATGCATACCCAGATGCAGACAGAGTCACTGAAAAATGGCAGGATGCAGGGACCACTCCATGGGATAAATGCAATCCAGTCAGAAAAGACAATTGGCTACGAGATTGAAAACACCTGACACATGATGCCATCAAACAAATTCGATGTGTGTGAGCCCGATAAAGAAGATCCATAGTGTGAAAACACAGGTATTTGGACCTGATGCCATCTTGGTGGTTGATATAAGCCACCATGGAATTGTTGGAATGGACCATAACCAGCCAGTGGCTGGCAAGAGAAAGAAAATGATCCAAAGCCCGATGAACAGCCAAGAGTTTGAGAACATTGACGTGAAGAGAACTCTTCTCTACAGACCAATGACCAGAAACCTCCTGGTGATCCACCCAGGCACCACAGCCCAAAAAGGATGCATCCGTGAACAGATGTAAATCTTGCCACGGAGGAGGAAGTGGGACCCTAACCGATGTGTGGGCCCTATTCAACCACCAATGGAGATCAACTTCAAGAGATGAGGGAATGGATATAAAAGTCTTCAAGGGATCCTGAGCAAGGTTCAAATGATCGTGAAAGACCCACTGAAGAAACCACATATGGACTCTGCCCAGGGGTATAAGAGGGGTCATGGAGAACCACATCCCTGAAGTAAATAGAACCTCGCAAGCTGTAAGTAAGGGAACAGACAGGGCTTTCCGAATGGCCCATTCCATAGAATGGAGCCAGAGAGAAGGTTGGGCCTGATTGAGATGGGTGTTGAAGTAAACAGATAAGATATTGGGCAAGATGAAGGAAAGACAGTTGTGTACCTGTTTCGCACCTTACGTGTCTTGTCGTATGGTTTGCTCCTTTGCTTCCATGTTTATATGGACAACAGGCTTCTTTGAATGAGAATTGGCCTGTCACTCTCATCAGCTACTGGCTGAAGCTGTGTGGGTGGGCTGGTTGGTCAAATTAGAGAAGCCCGATGGACAAACCAAAGATATGGATGAGAACGCTCCGTCAGAGGAATGTGTAAGTAAGCATTGAAAACATCCATCTTGGTCATCCAAAGACCTGGCGAAAATGCCCAGCGAAGAGAACGGATAAATCAATGACAGGACGCCAGTCTCTGGTCTGCTTGGGAACCACAAACAGATGGGAATAAATCAACATGAACATGGTGGAGCTGGTTTGATAACCTGTTGTGCAATGAGGTCCTGAACTGCCTTTGACAGATGCTGGTGTGTTGAGGGACCCCGAGGAGAAAGGAAGGTAACAGGAACACCAGTTTAAGGGAGGAAGAAAGAGAAAAGGATAAAACATATCCTTCTGAGAGCACTCTGTGAACCCAGACATCGGCGAGAAAAGGTCCCCAACAATGTACGAAATTCAAGAGATGAGACCCCACTGAGCTGAAACTGACCATGTAATCACCAGTACTGCTGTTGGCAGACTGTGTATCATCGAACCATGGCACAAAGGGAGTGTGGGACAGCAAGAGGTTGGGAAGGAGAAGGTCAAGCGACAGGAACCGGTGCTGATCTCGGCCCTAACTGCGAAAAACGAGATACCAAGTTAGTAAGGGTAGAATGTTGATGGGCTGAGGCCACCCATGACTCCAAAGACTCAGGAACTGATTCAAACGAATAATGCTGCAAAAACGGCACCATGCAGAAGTCTCTCAGATAAGGAGCTTGGACACGGGTCCATGCCAAAACCACATCACGACCAAAGAGGTCCAAACAACAAACAAACCATGTTGAAGCACAAAAGCTGAGGATGACAAACGAGCCAACACAGAAGTAAGGATGGAGAAGATTTCAGCAGAAAAGCCCTCAGAGTTCCTGTAAAGAGCCTCAGATAGAAGGTGAAGGTAGGAAAGGTACCTTAACAGGGTCGTGAGGGTGAGACAAAGGTGAGAAAATTAGGCTTGGGTAATCTGGGTTCACCCCCAAACAGATAAAACAACTGTTGGTCGAGAAAAGGAAAGTCTGCTCGATGATAAGCAAATTTGGGGGGATAGAGTATTGAAAACAAAGGCTTGACAAACTTGGGGGGGATGGGCAAATAATCACAATCTTCGTCTGCCTGGCCCTGCCCGAAAGACTCAGGAGGAAGTGGGGCAGAAGTAGGCAAGAGAGGTTGGCTCATATACTGCTCAATCTCCCAGCAATTAAGTGACAATACACCCCCTGACATAACCAAGATGTCAGCTACCATGTTTAACTAATATCCATGTTGTAAATCACTTGGCGAACATGTAGTTCCTATTACTCTATCAAATTACATAGCACATGGGTTGCTGCTCATTCGTCTTCTTTATTTTACCGAATCTAACCTAAAAAGTTTCTGATTTTTAGATTTTAGTTACTTTTATAATAATAAATAAAGAATAAACATGAAAAACAAGAAATAAAGTACTTACCTAGGTCTTTTTTTGCTGTTGACTGTTGATAACATTTAACCCAACCTTTTTTATACTTATCATACTATTGCACTAAATAATATGTCATTTGATAGATTAAAAACTTGGCTTTGTATTGGTTATAAATGGTATAGTTATTAGTAACAAATGTCAAAGAGAACTTTTGAGATTTTCTGAAAGAAAGAATGTGACTGGTGGGCATGGCAAGAGGAGTCTGATTTTCTATTTCATGGCTCTGTAATTAAATAAGATTGAAGGCTATAAAGACTATGATTTGTCTGAGCACTGACATTATGATGAGTAATTTACGTTCAATTTCTTACTTCTCGGAAGGGTGGTAAGTAAATAAGAGAAGAGGGAATGCCTAGAGAGAAAATGTCACAATTTTCATTCCAGGGTAAATTAAGGATTATTTTAAATATTGCTTTCTAAAATTAAGAACTTAAAATTGATATATGACTAAAATTTGGATTCTTAACTACATTTTTATGCCATATTTATTCATATACCATGATAAAACGTAGTTCAATTAAATTTTCAATGTGACTCACTAAAACCTCATTACGTGCACAGAAAAAAAGATACCTGTAGCGAAAGTGGTAATCGATTTTTGCAGTGAAAGGGTTAAACTAATATCCATTAGTTAGATATGTTAAAATACTGGACACGTATAAATAAACAGGACCACTTCAAATTAATGCCCACTAGTGTTAGTAAACAAGAATATCAGTGATTCCAACTGAACTAATGGTAGACGTAAAATTGCCATTTTAATCTACAAAAAAAATCAACATTTCATATGGTAAAAAAAAACAACAATCAATATACAATTTTAACTTTCATTTTTGGGTTAAATCCTCATTCTGAGAGTAGAAACAATTCTTTATACAGCTAAACAATATTCATACAACAGTTTCAAAAAATTCCATACAACATGCAAATTAACTTTATCCAACAACTAAACTTGTTGACCGTAAAACATCTAGCAGTGAACAGCATTATTAAAATATACTTACTACATCCAGATTAATTATTGCTGATGTCTTAATCTTACATCTGATAGCTTTCTAGTTATATTATGAAAAAACTAATTTTACCTAAATGGTCACATACTCATTCACATCCCTTAAATCATCAGATTAACATCCCAGGATGGAAACAGAATACAATTTTCAATTTTATGACTGTTTTAAAAATATTAGGGATGACTTAAAAATTACAAATGCTAAAGCCACTAGAGATGCTATAATTACTATAATATGTAGTATCTCATTTCCACATTACAACAAACTCTCTCTGCTTGTAATCTGTTTACATATTATCTAGTAAGAATTACTGCATGACTTAAGAGCCTCTTCAAACAATCAAGAAAATGAAATAAAATTACTTACTTCTAGTTTTAAGGCAGTTTTATCATAGGCATTTGGAACTCGGGCTTGCTTAACTTTGGCTAATGCTGGTAATTTTCTCTATAACAAATAAAATACACTATTTTACAGAAGTTGTATTTGATTAGGACAAGGTATATTTTCCAGCTTCAAAAATAAGACACCAGAGGATGTTAACACAAAATTGTACATCAACATTTAGAGTAAAATTTATCATGAATCTGTACATTTCTAGATCATTTTATTAAGAAAATTATCAATTAATATTGTCTAAAAAATATTTTTACCAGATTCTATAATCATGACACGTTGAAAATATATTTTAGATAAAAACTTTCTACATGCCACAAGCTTGATTAAAAGAGAAATAGTATTATTCCAAATATAGGATGACCTTAAATACAAAGAGATTGTTTAAATTAGAATAGTAGTAATAAAAAAATTAGAAAAACTGATGAAATTGTTTTATCAAAATTACATTTTACATGTAATGTTTCCATATATTGTCTTTAAATGCTTTGTTTGCAGCTCCTGGCATAATCACAAAGTTAGTATTCATGCCAGCAAGTTGTTTCTTAACATCACCTATCATAAGATGACAAAAAATGACTAACAAAACATCCCCTCTTCTTAACTCCACTTTAATCTTTTCAATACTTTTTGTCACATTCTTTTCCACACGATCAACACTTCCTATACGCTTATCCACTTTAATTAACAGACAACAAATCAACTGAGGTTAATCTACCAGTTCTAGTATAGGTAATAAGTTGAATCACCTCACAACAGACCACTGCTCACCTATTTAACTCTCTCAACATGGGCTTGGTCAATTTGACCGACCTCGTAACCACTTGTACTCATTATAGTTTACATACTAATAACTTTTAATATTTTAAGTGCATCTTTACAAAATTTTGTAGATTTATAGTAAACATTAGAAGCCTTTTGCACACAAAAAATCTGATTTTTTTAATGAAGTATTTTTACTTATATTTGTCCGTAAAAATATCAATTCTTTTTTTTAACTACTCTGAGTGCAGTGATTTTCATTTTAAGTTTTAAAATACTTTTCTTTGTTTCAAAAATCTCATTTCATTTGCACAACCTCTGAAACCTCCTAAATACATATATACCTTTTTTTCTTCAATAAAACGTTAACTTTATCTGTTATTACATTTATTATTTGATTCTTCAGCCTGTAGACAACCCATTGAAGTAGAATGAAATGAAAAATTGTAAAATCATAATTATAATGCGCAGCTGTTTCCTTTTTCTTCATTATTGATCATGAAGTTTCAAAGTACTTCTCCTGACAGTTTCACCTGCTAAACATATCCCATATATTTTCTGTGTTTATTTTACTGTCACGACAAATTACAAACCTGCAGACAATAAAGCAATAAACCATCACTCGTGTTATAAGACTGTTTATGTACAACCATAATACAAAACTCTTGAGTGCAAAAACATATGCATATTCAGTGAGGTGACATTCCCCTTGCTTTGAGAACACAATATTGGATATACCAGTTTATTTTTCCTACAACACTTTCCACAGGAATTTCCCAGGGTAATAAAATTGCAATTAGAATGTGTAAAAACATTTATCATGTGGTTCAGAAATGGGCTGATCCAATTACATGGCAGGTGTTTCAGTACTATGGTCATTTGATGTGTGTGGAATTTCGCAGCATAAGTATATGAAGGTGTTATTTGGGCACATTTTTATAAATGATATTCCAATTTTTCATTTTCACCACACTTATCTGCCAACCAACAGAAATTGAGCTTCCACTACCATCTACTACACCGTTTTAGTTTTGGTTTCGAAAGTCTTCTTGTACAAGTATTTTGTCTTCTTCAAACTGACGATCAGATATGCAAAATGCCTTTGGTAGTTACTTCAAAGTAAGTAATCATAATTTTTAGTTACATATATATCTGTTCAATAATTTCAATATATATTAGTTGATAAAATCCAATGTAGTTGTTTCTGTATATTAGCACATCATATAGTCCTGAAATCTGTGATACACATCATACTCATAGATTACATATATATATATATATATGTGTGTAATACTACACAACAGAGGATACATGTAACATACATTTAATGATGTTTTTTTCTTCTAGAAATGGACATAGTAAAAAATAAAGCTAGAGAGCTGAGGAAAAAAAAACCCAGTGAAGAAGAAATGCAATTTCTTCTAAATGTGTCCTTCTCGTCTGCTGAAGAAGGCATTCTGTCAGAGGAGTCTGATATTGATGAAGTTTCAGCTAATGTGTCAATGCCTCTGACAGAGTCTCTATAAAACCAGATGGCAACAAAATCTAGAGCCAGCTCTTCTTGATTCTGTCTTACGGACAGATCAGGAAGTAGTTGGTGAAAGATTTTCATTAGATGAGGCCAGGTACATCAAGGCAACATACACCACCACCACTATAGAGAAGAGGCAGAATAAAGAGGGGGTAGGGGAAGGGGTAGAGCTACAGTATCTACTAGGACTTGTCCTTCCCAACAGGAGGCCTCTCACCTGCAGTGACTCTTGGACCTGGGTGCAGATCATCGAAGAAGTACCTACTCATGTTCTTCCGTGTGGAAGATGGCTAACCTGTGTCCTGACGGGTAACCTCTACTAATACAGCTGTCAATTTGTTTCAACTTCTGTTTACATTTGAAACTTTAAACTTTATTGTTAGTGAAACAAATCTATATGCAAAATCTAAACAGCCACAACAGGAAGGTGAACCCCCCAAAGAAGACAACCGTAAGATGGACAGATGTTACCCATGAAGACATTTTGGTATATATTGGAGCAACAATAGCCATGGGAATCAAGCCCTCTCCTTCTTTTTCTGACTATTGGTCTACTTATCTTCCTTTCCATAATCCATGGTTTACTAACATCTTCTCTAGAGACAGGTTTTTAGCTATCCATACTAACTTACACTTCAATAACAACACTAATGCTCTTCTTAGAACTGACACTAACTATGACAAACATTTTAAGGTTAGACCTGTCATAGACTGTCTACTAAAATCTTTTGCTTTACACTACTCTCCTAACAAGGAACTAACCACTTACAAACAGATGTTGGGCACAAAATGTCGAATTGCTTTTCTTCAGTACATGCTCAAGAAACCTGTCAAGCGGGGTATCAAGTTATGGGTCCTGGCAGAAGCTGTGAGTGGATACTGTCTGAAATTTAAAATCTACACAGGCAAAGAGGGACAAATGCCAGTTAAAGGTTTAGCAGACAGTGTTGTAATGGAACTGATGGACAAGTACGATAGATTAGGGCACTGGGTTTTCATGGACAACTTTTACATTTCCCCTCGATTATTTGACAAACTACTGACTTTGGAAACCTATGCTTGTGGGACATGCAGGAAAGACAGACTGTATTTCCCACAGCAACTGGTTTCTACAAACCTACAGAAAGGGGAAGCACATTGACTCTGACAGCTGTAAAGTGGACTGACAAACGAGACATTTATGCACTTCCAACTTTACACTCTAGTACTATGACAACTGTGACATGAAGAGAGAGGGATGCAGAGGTTACAAAACCTCAGTTAATTGTGGACTATAATAAGTTTATGGGAGGAGTGGACCCAAATGACCAACACTTAAGTTACTACTCTACTGCACAAAGGACAATAAAATGGTATAAAAACCGTTTTTTCGACTTTTGGACTTGACAATTGTAAATGCTTACATTATGTACAAACAACAGACCAACCAGCCGGCATTATCCAAGAAGGCCTTCAGAATGGACCCGGTCAGAGCTCTTGTTAAGCCTCTACTTCAAAGCAGACCAGGTCCTTCTGGTATACCACTCTCTAGAACTGTACAGGACTCATCACCTCTGAGACTTACTTCCCTACACTTGCTGATACAGGTATCAGAAAAAGATGCAGACTATGCCTTCCTGAAAATAAAGTTCTTATAAAATGTAAATTTGTGATGAATTTCTGTGTGTGAAACACTTCGAAGAGTATCACACTATTGTTACTCTTAAAAGAAGTTAATACTATGTACAAGGTAAAAGTCTGCTCTTTTCCTTTGTAAACAGTTTTGGTTTTGGTTTTAAGAAAACAAATCTTAGTAGAATTTTTTGATTGTTTTTTGACTTAAATGTTTTTGTTAAAATAAGTGTATAATGTTATACTGTATATGTTATTATAAGTATGTATTTTGTAGTTTTCTAAAATGTTTGTAATAAAATACTTATCTATAAATTTCCATTTGTTTAGACTTGACAAAAACCTACTGGACTAAAGCTTTCAACTAGATAAAGTTAGTACTCAAATATATCTAAGGGTTCTTATATTTGTATTTATTACAACTACTTTTCAAACATCAATACAAGAAAACCATTTATGATTCAATAAGAATTATTGTAACCATTAAAAAAAAAGCAATAAAGATCATGACATCCATAGGTCCCTAAACTTGTGGAAATCTTTTCATATGAGCATGGATCAACAACAAATTTAACTGGGTGCAGATTAAGTGATAACTCTAGTTTTTACCTGAATATTAGGTGTGTTATATCTGTTGCGTTCACATGAAGAGCGAGTGTTTGGTGATAACTGACTAGATCCTGACTGAGCTGTAGATGGTGATGAACTTCGACAGTTTTGTCCATCAATCTGGTTTTCATCATACTGAAAAAATTTAAATGTGTTCAACTCTTAGAAAAAAATGTCTCAAAGTTATAAAAACAAGTCAACTTCAGATGCTATAATTTTACTTACCTCCTCTCACAAGTCGAAATGAAACAGGATCAGTGAAACTGGAGAAGAAGAAGAAGAGTGTGAACTAAAGCACCTTGGACTGGCAGAAGTGACTGGATGAGAAGGGGATAAGACCTTTCAACTGAAGACCATTATTCTGAAGCCTCCTACTGATAGAATCACACACCCCAAAGAGACTAGAATGTGAGGAATGTAAAAGAAAAAACTTATCCAACTGGAAAATCCAACTACCCGAGCCAACTATGGAAGGAGTGGAAGAGTATGATAAGACTACACCCACTTGAAACGAGCTAACTGAAGCCAGACATCCAATGAATGGTGTTGGTAAAATCCCCCGAAATGTGTAAGTCAGGTAAAATGCAAAAAATATGGAACCAAAACAAGTCCAGGCGTCAAGCCACGAAACTGGTACCTTATCACATGGTGAAAAAATCAAAGATAACAATGTATATCGTAGGCATTCTCAGTCCTGCAGAAACAGCCGACCCAAATGTGATTAAAGACAACATATTAAAACAGGGAAGACTCGCTAGATGATTGAGGTGGAACCGATCAATCCATAACCCTAATCAGCATTGAGCAAACAAGACGAATGAAAAAAAACACGCAGGTAAGACAGATAAAGGATGTGCAGGTGCCAAACATATAAAATGAATAAAGATATTAATATATCAGAATGAAACAAAAAACTAAAAAAAATTATATAACATCGCAGATACTCCACGTGATGCTAAATGTACAGGAGTAGCACCAAAAATCAGACCAGAGGAGAAAAAGAACTGACCAGCAACAGATGGTAAATTAACAACACTCTTCTACTATAGAAGATCCTAAAAGCAAAGAAGCCACGTGTGGAGGGAATAAACTAAAGATAAACAAATTTAGCTAACCGTGTCAATGTGAATACCACAAGAGAAATTTTCAAACTGGAGGCAAAGTAGACAATACTCTGTACAGCATATAACATAATATTAAACATCAGAAAGAACTATTCACAATTTGTGAAAGAGAAGATGTGACAGGTGGGCGTAGCAAGAGGATCTCATTTTCTAGTTTATGGCACTGTAAACAAATAAGATTGAAGGTTATGAAGATTATGCTTTGCCTGAGTAATACCTATATTATAATGAGTAATTTATGTTAAATTCCATACTTCTTAGAGGAATGATAAACAAATTAGAGAAGAGGGAAATACCTAGATAGTAAATGTCACAATTCTCATACTAGGGCAGATTGAGGATTTTTTAATGTTTTCTTATGAAATTAAGAGCATAAACTTTCACAATAATAAAATTTGATTTATTCCCTACATTTTGATTCCACATTTATTCCACTGATAATAAAGTTGTTTAATTGGATTTTGAATGTAACTCTCTCAAAAGTTGTGACAAGCACACTTTGACATACCTGTTGCAAATGGGTTAATACAAATACACATTTCAAAAACATAAAAACTTCACCTTAAGCAAATACATTAATCTTAAGATTACAATCAAATGTGGTAGATTATAGAACTTCTTAAATAATGAAGGAACAGAAGTTACAATAGACTAATAAAACATATCCAATAAAAGCAACACTATAATTATTAACATACTGCACTGTTCACTGATTAACAAACAAAAGGTCAGGCTTTGAAACACATTTCTATAAATTTCCATAATATTTATTCTAATTCTTTCAGAAACCTTAATTATAAGCCTCTTCTGAATTTGTAAAACATGCAGATTTTTAAAACAAATTTAACAAACATATGTTATTAATTAGTTTTAAATTATTTTTTTTGGTTTTAATATTGGGAAGGAAGAACTCCATGTAGGGAGAACATCGGGAAGAGTGTGGACCTAACAAGATATACAGATATAAGTATGAAGATATATTTTATGTACTATGATTTTAATACTTCACCTATTGTTTATTTATCATTGTTGGTTCAGTTTGTTTCAAAAATTTAACTTCAGAATGTTTGATAATATTTTTGATATGATCCAAATCTTCTAGACACGTGTATCGATGCTTGATTAAATGATTATGTTGTTCTAATTTAGTCTCAACTAGCTTAACAAACTTGTAGATTATCAACAGCTCCTGAAGCAGCTGTAATGGAAAATATTCAGCCAATAAAGATAAATTGTGAGAGACACAAGTTGTTGTTTTACTTACAGTAATATTTATGAATATCAGTAACTTACTTTTTCTACATAGGGTACTGGAATTGATCCTGTTAAGCCCACAGAGTTTCTTGCTGTCCACCATTGTTCTTCGTCTTTAGAAATAATTGTTAATATTTCTCCTTTCTTGAAAGGTAGGTCATCTGCATCTCCCTAACGTTACATAAGATTACAAAACAAAAATAGCAGTTACTTTTTAAAAACAAATGTAAACTTGAGTGTATCTTCTTCTACATTAACAATTCATGTTTTTAACATATGCAAGACAGTTTTTATAATTGTTATTGATTGAGTCAACTTAGTTCAACAACTGAACTTTTGTTTAAAATTATTAAAATAAAACGAGTTCCTAACAAAGATAGAAGTGTCCAAGTTTGCTTAGGAAGGTAATATTATCTAAAAAGAACCTTAAAACAGCAGCAGTAGAATGACAAGGTCCATTTTGTCTCATGTCTATAAGCCTATATTCCAACCAATCAATAATTAGAATTTTTACTTAAAGATTCATCAACATCTTTCTTTTTGAAAACATGGGCCCTGTCACTTTTCTTATAACTAAATAAAGCTGTTCAAAGGCTTTGACAAACCTTTTTCTGTTAGAACTTGATAGTCTCTAAGATATGGTCAACAATTAGAATTTGTTATACATTCATTAATTCAGATAACTTTATTTTATTGTATAACTATCAAACAAAAGCTATTGAAATATTCTATGTTGATTTTTTCTGCAAAATAATTGTTTCTTCCACAGCAACTGCTGCTTCTGGATGGGAAAAAAATTCAGATTATCCTATTTGTACAAAAAACAGCAAAGAAAAGAAAACTTGTACACTAGAAACACAGAAGATTCTGCCACCATTAACAAATTTCTTAAGCAAAGACTGATCTAGAGAAAAATACCAAATTAAGAATTATGGTCTTCAAAGAAATTAGCCACTAAAGGGGAAACAGCCTCAGAACGTTTAACAATGACAAAAAAAATAAAATAAACCATCACAGAAGTGTGTTATACAAAAAGCATTCACGAAGCTCAACAAAATATGAAGTAAGAAGTGTCCAACTAATGTTAACAAATATACAATAACACGAAAAACACGCATCACACTTACACTTCCTGTGAAGTCATATTTGGCTCGAACTTTCTCAACTTTTCTCTCGGCCTGTAAAATAAACATCTCATACTCAAACATGACTACCCAATCATGTATTAATATTTTTAACTAATTTTTCAAGCATATTTTGTGTTCAACAATGAACAGAAACATCAGTACAATATACACTATTCTTATGACAAGATGAAGCTGATAAGGATCGATTCAACATTATTCGTCTTGTTATTTTTCAGAAAATACTGGACATTCAAATACATAAAAGGACAAAAAGCAACTGGAGAGTGTTTATTCAAATTTTTCACGACGAGCACCAAACTAATAGCATAATACAAAATGACAATCATGCCAAAAGAATGATCAAGTATCTAATTAATTTTTGCAACCTGAGCAAAACAGAGCGAGTTATTAAACAAGGTCAAACCCGTCAATTTTATTAAAATTACTCAATGCTAAAATTATGAAAAACAATTACATTGCCCAAAGTAAATGTATTAGTAAAGTAATAGTTTCAGTGAATTTAAAAAAATAGCATATCATTATACATTTATGTAGAATTGACCTCTACTTTGTCTGATTTAAATTATAGTTAAAATTCTTAACAGTTTTAACTGCATAATAAGCATCACTGGGGTGGGAATCCATCATGAAAATCTCAACTGCATTTTGATGGTCGCAGAAAACTAACATGAATCTAGTTATAGACCAGGTACTGAACGGCTACTGATTCATAATTTAATTAGCCCTACATAAACAGCCACCCTGAAAATATCTTTGTGACACCCATGGTCATAAATGGCAAAATTATATGGATTTACTGATTGGGATTGTAAGTGAATACACAAACATTTAATGAACTTACAGTTTGGCTTCAAATAATGTAAGATTTTGTATAAATTAACCATAATTTTCTCTCACAAGAACTTGAATGAATCCAGTAGAATGATTAGAAGGTAACTATTATTCAACAAATCATAGTACACGTGTTTTATAAATATTATTATGTAGTTATGAAATCCCACAGTACAGTTCAAAGTTTACTACAACTTTTCCACCAAGAATAATATATGAAATTCTTCAGAGTCATTCACATCTAGGAACAAAAACTGATTCCAATAGTGCATTAGTTGAACTCCGAAATATAACATGTGCATTGCCCGCAGCAATAAACATGCGGTTGATATAAATTTAAGACATGCACATGATGCACTAACGATTACAGTAACATGCTGTCTGTGCAAACAGGAGATTCCCAATTGTTATAACTGGAACACGGCAATTAGAAAAATGCAAGTGGGAAATTCTACTTTCTTCTTACTTTTTCTCAGACTTGAAAAGTAAACTGGACGATGATGTATTCTATAAAGTTCTGATGGATTTAATACTAAACATAAAGTAAACTGGACTTTAAATCCATCAGAACTTTATAGAATACATCATCTACTAAACATAAAGTAAACTGGACGATGATGTATTCTATAAAGTTCTGATGGATTTAATACCAAACACAAAGTAAACTGGACGATGATGTATTCTATAAAGTTCTGATGGATTTAATACTAAACATAAAGTAAACTGGACGATGATGTATTCTATAAAGTTCTGATGGATTTAATGGAAAACTGTGGAATATCTTACCATCTCAACAGATTATCAAAAAGTACAAATTGTTGAGATGGTAAGATATTCCACAGTTTTCCACTTGTTCCATTTGTATTCTCATTCTAAACTATAATTCAACTTTATTGATTAATTCAGAACAATGCACATCCAAACATAAAGCCAGTTTCTGAACTAGCATGTAATAAACGAGAGCATAGGTATACGGGCCTAATCTCATTTGAGAAGAACATATTTCAATAGCAATATTTTATAAGAATGTAAATATTAGAGTTTCTCTGTTTCAATAACAGAAAAATCAACTGTTTCCATTATACTAAGTTCCTCAAGAATTACCAAAATGGTCCAAATTACACATTTACTTACTGGTCGTATAAGTGGTGTAGTGTCCAGGTAATGAAGTTTATAGAAGTTTAGTAGAGACGGGATATCAGGAAACATCTGATCACCAATCCTGAATCTCGTCTGATCTCCTTGCTGTATTTTATTTATTATGTAATGACTGACTTTGTTGTCCTCTCTAAATGAAATAAGAAATGACAAAATTTTTAACAGCACAACTTTTTTTTAAAGTAGTTTTTTATCTCTACACAAATATGTAATATTTGAAATTTTTACAGTAACATTTACTATTATTTACAAACAAGGTGTTTTTAATGTTTTCAACAAAAGTAACATTCCAGAAAAATCCATTTCCTTCAATACAACAAAATTCTTTCATGTTTTTGTAATGAAGAAAGACTTTTCCAAGATTTAAATAGCATGATTTCCATTTATAATGTGACCAAGAAAACTAAAACGAAGCCAGATATTGTTGCTCTGCTGAATATGTATGAATCAAAATTATGTAATTCACCTTGAATGCAACAGCAACCCTACTGTTTTATGTAAATACATCTCAAACAGTTAGGTTCGACTTCACTCACTGCACACTGTGATTCCTAACCTTATATGCAATGCACACATAAATATGTAAGCACAAGAATGAGGTCTTAAAGCTACATTTACAGTTCTAAGATAATGAGATAAAAAAATTCAATGAAAACTTGACTTTTTAATCTAAGTATTTACATAATTTTGCAAGAATCCAAGTTCTGAATATACACAACCAATAAAAATAAGTATTTTCTATAAAGATATCATAAAAGTTGTTCAAAATTAAGCTACAATAATTTAATGCCATTATTTTAAGGCTATACCGGACCTATGCACGTACTGTACATATTCACCCATTCACATATAGGTGCTACTATAGCGTGAGGTCTACCTCCATATGTCGCCTACCCAGGTGCAGCCTGAGGTCTATCACATTCCTAGGATATGTACAAATTAAGTGTTTATCGCTAAAATAAATGTATGGAAATGTGTGATATCCATGAGGGATGGATAATGCAGCAGTAGACCTCACGCTATAGTGTGGTAGACCTAACGATATCCCATTAAGATGCATTCCGTTTTTCTTGTTTGGATGTGTGTACCCTAGCTTTGTATCTGTTATATGTTGTTCTGACTGACTGAACATTATAACACTCTCTCTATTAACTGCTAACAATATTTTTAGCCATAATCCAAATAATATCTTACAAAGTTTGACCAGTTTACAAAAGCTAGGTTAATCCTAAATCCACATACTAACAATGTAATAAATTTTGCTTAAGTTTAAACATTAATTTAAACATTATAACCAATAAGGAACAATGAAGGTCATTACTCACAAAACTCCAGTTGTTGACTCCTCAGATACAACTTACCAAAACAAAAGATGTAGGTATACTTGTAAGTATCCATGTATTTGAAGTAGTGTAAATTCAACAACACATTATGTTTAAGATTTTTATATTAATTTTTACGTAAGGAAAGGGCATCAAGTCTCACCAGAGTATACATCTACAGTTACCAGTACTAACCTGACGCACAGCACCAGATCTCCTTGTATAGTACTACTGTTTCGTACTATAAAAATTCCTGCCTCATTTTCTGCCATCAAAAGATCTGTAGCCTCCTGTCTCGTCATAGGCCCAACAAACCAGCTAGAGAGCATGAAAAAAAACTAAGATTTGTCTAAACTAAAACATAACAACACAGAACACATAATTAATTACATAAATATTTTTCTTTGGACTCTTAAAATGATCCAAAAACAAAATATTTCTTATGTATAAATGTGCTCCACAAAGTACCAGCTCAAATTACAAAAAGTCCAAATGATTTTAGTAGTTTCCTCCAATACACTTATATTTCAGAAAGATCTTATTTTTTAGGTTAATCCACTTTGGGTGTCATACTTCTTTTGAAAAAAATTAATTTTGCTTTGTTTGTTTGAAAATACAATCTTCTGGTTAAAGTGGCAGTCTTCAAAATTATATTAAAATAAAACTGGCTTCTAAAAGGAAAACACAGATTTATTATAACACATAATTTGGTAAATGTTGCAAAATTGTGAAAAGAAAATATACATTTTAGGATCTTAGTTGTTTATTATTTTTAAAAGTAGTTAATGAAATTGCACCAGGTTTCTTACTTTGCAAATATTATCAAAATGTTATACAATACTGTTGTTAAATTTCACATGATGATGTAAAGAGGTTCCATAAGTAACTGGGACTCGGAAGAAGATTTTTAAAGTTCAATGATGGGAGTTCGTACTGACCTACTTGTAATCCTAGCATTACAGAAAAAGAGCTACAGAGGGACTGCAATCTTTTACTGAGTGTGTCTGTGAAGAAAATGGGTCAATAAGATGGTTGGATCTATTTATAGAACCTTTCTGTTCCAAGAGCAAAGATGTTATTCTTACTTGTATGAGGCTCTTGACAAGCCCCTTTTAGATCACTGTATTCACATTGATCGTAATGTAGGAAATATAGATAGAGATAGAATGTTATCATTCAGTCTGAAGCATGAATTATCATCACTGGTTTTATACATGCCATTTCTACCTCTATTTTATTATCAATGTTATTTTTAAGTCATATGGTTTCAAGAGAGCAGGAAGTGGTGAAAATGTAGCAAACATTGTACAACCACATACGTCTTCCTGTTGCATAGTCAGTGGTATACATTTAATGCCCATTCTCTGATCACATTCCTTTATGAAATATAATTGCACTGTTACTGATAAAGTCAATAACTAATATAAATGTGAGCCAGTGAGCAGTGCCATTTCTGTTCACAATGTTGTCTAAAAAGAAGCCAGAAAATACAGGAAATGGTACAGGAAATAATCATATTAATTTTCATAATTTTCCCGAGAAATATGTCCCTGGACCCTAATCACTCAGCTATCCTTAATGATAACCCTGCTATGGGGGTATTTGAAATTAGCACAAACATCACCAACACTTTTTTTTAAATTTGGGATAAGATAACACATGTCTAAGATTACTACGTGCATACAATTGTTGCAATATTAAATCAATTTTCACTGAGAGTATACAGAACTATTTACATTACATGATGAATCAACTTACAGAACTTTAGAAGCATAAAGAAACACCACACACAAATACGTAGTAGTGCAAGCAAAGTCAGTGTATTAGTATAACAAGTTGGGGTACTGTTTGTATTTATTTAAAATATATAAAACCCATTTTTTATACTGTACAACTTTGTTATTGGTAAGCCTAAGTTTTTACAAAATTTTACAACATACTCAATATTTCTGGCTTAAATGTATTTATGTACTGTACCAGCTATGGAGCTGGGTGATTAACTCGATTAAATGATATAATCAATTAATGCCATAAAAATAACCAACGGATCACAACAAGTATTTTTAATTATTATTCCAACTATTCAATAATAAAAATTATGATTAAATGGACTTGTATCACAAAAATAATCAATTAATTGAAATTAGGGTTTCCAATGATTACTGCTTTCAAGTGACTGAAACGTTAAGCACAAAGCTACACAATGGCTTAACTGAGCTCTTCCCACTGCAGGTATTGACATCTAATTTGTAATGTTTTAAGTTTTTTTGGGTTATTTTTTCAATCATCCTTTAATTAACAAATTAGTAAATTTCACTAGTCATTCTCCACTGATTAGCTATACAGCTACAATATAGAATAATATAATTATTTTACACAAACAAAGATATATCTAATGAAAGTTGATGGAATAGCCTATGTGGACTAAATAACCCCTTATTATCATTGGAAATCAAATAAAATGGTGAGGCCTAACTTGCAGTAATGTACAATTTTGGTCTCCTAAGAACTGGATGAATATCCACAGGTTTTTGTGAAGTAGTGAGATGGGCTACTAGAATGATTCCTAGCTCATGTCATTTAAGCTATGAGGAAAGTCTTGGACTTGTTCTCTTTGATGTACAGAATTAAAAGGAAACTTGATTCAGGAGTTGTTAAAGTTGTTAGGACTTTAGATAGCTTTCTTATGGATTATCTGATTAAGTAACGTAACAGAAAGGTTGGAAATACAAACTAGAATCAATATTAATTTCTGATCAGAGCAAAACTATAAATCAACCTAATAATGAGTATAGCTAAGAGATTTGGCCAGCTTAGGAGATTTAGGTTAGTTCCTAATATATAAAATTGGTTAACAATGTAAGACAATCTTTACAATAAAAGTATGATAATAAACAATAACTAAAATTTAAAAAGTAACACGATATATAAATAATATAGCATACCTTAGTTAAAGAACATAAGAAACATTAGCTGTTAGTTTGAACTACTGTCATGGTAGTAAATTTCTTTGAAAAACGTGACCTAAGTACAGGCCTCGACAAATATTTTAAGATGTAGGACCCAGCCCAAAAAATTAGGAGCCAGGCGTGCCTAACCAAACTTCACTACTGTTTTGTACTAGAAAATCGGGGCTACGTATATTTATTTATTTTCACAGCAATGAGTGCATGCTAACAATCACTTGATAGTATTGACTGAACTAACTGCCTTTGGTTCCGCCCGAATCTAAACGTGCACTGATTGGTTGAATTGAGAGAAAGAAGAAAAACAAAATGATGCCAAATTAGTAACGTAGTGTAACCACAATGCTTCACTCTGAAAACACAAAGAGGTGCTGGATCCATCATTAAAATCTTAGAAACAAAGTTCAATTTAGGACTCAAAGAATGCAAAAATAGTTCTGGACTTCCAAGAGTCCAGTACTGTTCTAGGTTCGAGTTGTATTTAGCACAGCCTTATGCAGGAATAAAATGGGAGAAAATACTAGGTGCCACAAAGAACTTTTGTGTCACCATTGGGACCTAGTGCCTCAGATTTGTCGAGGCCTGCCTTAGTATAAAATAACTTCCCCCTAACTCATCATTTGACCGAAGAAATCTTATTAAGCCATCCCTGCTATTTAATGTTAGAGGGTAGAACATCATGGCATGAACGTTATCTACAAACATGAGCAACATATTGTAAAACGTTATGGACCAGTGACACCAAGATCATGTATATTCTTAAACATGTGCACATGTGGCTGAAATATGATAGCAAAGTAAAAGTGGTGTTTTGTCCCATTTGTGGTTAATTCATTCACAACTGGATGTAATGTGTTTAGGAGTGTGTTACTAAACATGAACCCCAGACGTATGTGACTTATTCATTTATTTTCTTTAATTTTTACATCAATAAACCGGATGTTTAAAATCAAAATACCAAATTTTTGTTTTAATTGTAATAAACTAATTTTTAAAAAGCACAAACTTTGTCTTTTAATCAATTTCATAGACTATTTTTTAGTACAATTTCATCAAATAAGAAACTTATTTTAATCTTTGATCATTAATTAGATAGTTATATATCTGGTCGTAACCTTTCATTTACTTGAATAAAGAAATAATTATCCATTCTACATTTAGATAGTCATTTTAATTTATTCATGATTGAGTTCAAATGTGATTTCTAGAAAATCAAACAGAAGTTGAATTGATTCAAATCTAACAAGTTATATTACACATTGTTTAAAATTTTAATTCTAGTTGGCTTAGGGTTTTGAAAGCTGGTTAAGGTTTCTGAGGTAGGTGATTTTTTTGCTACAAATTGTTATGAGCCAGAACAACCTCTCTTTAACCACTTACAGGGATCTCTAACAAACAAACATACAGGAAATAATAATTTTAAATCCCTATCTATAAAAGTTAAAAACAAAAACACTATAAACCTCTAAAAAGCAGAAAGTTCAATAGTAATAATAACACTTACAAATGGGAGTTACAACACTAATAAATATAATAAATAAACTTAAGTGTTCTGAAAATTAGTTTAAT